GCAGCATCAGTATGGATGGTGAAGAGATTGAGATAGTTAACAGTTTTAGTTTGCTTGGTTCCAGAGCCAACACTCTTGGTAGCAGCAGCCAGGAAATCAAGAGACGAATTTCATTGGGAAATTCAGCTGTGAGAGACCTCTCAGGAGTATTGAAGAGCAACGACGTCAGGCTGGACACTAAGGTGCGCCTGATCCAGGCTATAGTCTTTTTAGTTACATGCTTTGCATCGGAGAGTTGGACATGAATAAAGATTATAGAAGGAGAACTGATGCCTTTGAGCTGTGGTGCTGGAGAAGAGTGTTGAATATACTAGGAGAACAAACAGGTTTGTCCTGGAGAGGGTGAAGCCAGAATGCTCCGTCTGAAATACTTTGGGCATGTTGCAAGGAGGGACTGGTCGTTGGGGAGGGACGACATGGGAGAGGAAGTCCCTCGATGAGAGGATTGCTTCTACGAGTGGAATGGTGGGAATGAGTGTGTTTGAGGCGGCGAGGTTGGCACAGGATAGAACGGCGTTTAGGGCTCCTGTACACCGCTATGAGTCACAAGCAACTTGATGGCACATAACAACAACTATGTAACTATAACTGTGTGTGTATGTATGTTGTATACCATTGGGTTCATTGGTCTGTGCATTGCTGTACAGAGGTAACTTGTGGTTGCTGTGATGCTAAACACTGTGACACTGATGTGCCAAATGCAATAATGGTTACCCATGGTGGACAGTGTTTGGTGGAGCTCCCCAATTAAAACAAGCTTGGAAGCAGGAGTGGCATCCACTTCCAGAATGGCTTGCCTCCAGAAACTCTGTGAACAGTTCTCAGGGCTTTCGTTCATAGGGTCGCTATGAGTTGTCTACGACTCAACAGCACTTAACAACAACCACTGAGTTGGAACCAACCCATAGCTGATCCTCCAGCGGGTTTTCAAAGGCAGTAGTCTCACTGGAGGAGATTGCCCATTTTTTTCCCACATAGCACAGAGCTGTCAGATTTGAACCATCCGCCTTCAGGATTGCAGTACAGATTCTTACCACTTCAGCTTCTCTGTGTGTGTGATTTGTTAGTTCCCGTGACTAAGGATGACAGAGAAGAATTGATGCCTTTGAGTTGTGATGTTAGAGAAGAGTGCTGGATATCCAGTAGTCTGCCAAAAGAACAGACAGATATGTCTTGGAAAAGGTGCAGCTAGTGCACTCTTTGGAAACAGAGATGATGAGGCTTTGTTTCCCATACATTGGGCATGTTAGTAGGAGAGGTTATTCCTTTGAAAGGGACATCTTGCTTGGGGGTGTGGAGGGTTGATGAAGAAGAGAAGACCAGGTGGATTGAGTGACTGCAGCAATGGGCTTGAGGGTGTTGGGAGATTGTGAAGATGGCACAGGATAGGACAGGGTTCCAATTTGTTGTTCATAGGGTTGCTACGGAGCATACTCTATTTGACGGCATCTGACAGCAGCAACAGTTTGCTAATTGCTGTAGTCATATTGTCTTTACCTCAGTTCTTCCAAAGTTGGTCCTCCTTGTCTTGTTCTACTAGTGTTCTTTGTATACTAACTACATTTTTTTATTTTTTCCTTCCCTCTTCTTTGTTGCTTTTTTTTTAAATTAAATTTTTATTGATAAGTGATCCACACAGACATTTCTCTGGTACTCCCTGCTTTTAGCCAAGATCCATCTAACATTAATTACAATATCCCTAGTACCACGGCCTCTTCAAAACCCAGCCTGGACTTCAGGAAATTCTCTGTTGAGGTGCTGTTCCAGTCATTTTTGGATAATCTTCAGCAGAATCTTGCTTGCATGTGATATTAATGATACTGTTTGATAATTTCTGCACTCTCTGTCAGGTCAGATTTCTTTGGAATGGGAACAAATATAGATCTCTTCCAGTCATTTGGCCAGGTGGTTGTCCTCCAGATTTCTTGGCATAACTTGGTGAGCAAATCTAGGGCAGCATCTGTTTGTTGAAATATATCAATTGGTATATCGTTAATTTGTGGGGCCTTGGTTTTGTGCCACTTCTTTCAGAGCGTCTTGAACTTCTTCCTTCATCACCACAGGCTCTTGATCATACGTAGTTTCGTGAATGTCTGTGTTTAATTGACTATGCAAAGGCATTTGACTGTGTGGACCACAACAAACTGTGGCTAACTCTGAGAAGAATGGGAATCCCAGAACAATTGATTGTGTTTATTATGCAAAACCTGTACTTGGACCAGGAGGCAGTCATCCGAACAGAGCAAGGAAACACTGCATGATTCAAAATTGGGAAGGGTGTACGCCAGGGATGTGTCCTATCTCTATACCTTTTCAATCTTTAAATGCAGAACAGATTATCCAGAAGGTTGGGCTCTATGAGAAATGTGACATCAGGACTGGAGGAAGAATCATCAACAATCTGTGTTATACAGATGACACAACCCTGCTTGCTGAAACTGAGGAGGACCTGAAGTACTTGTTGCAGAAGGTCAAAAACTGTAGTCTTCTATATGGATTGAAGCTCTGTACCAATCAGTACTGGGCCGATTGGCAACATCATGATAGTTGGTGAAGAGATCAATATTGTTAACAGCTTTAGTTTGTTTGGCTCCACAATCAACACACTTGGCACCAACAGCCAGGAAATTAAAAGATGTATTGCATTGAGAAAGTCGGCTGTCAGAGACTGCTCCGAAGTACTGAAGAGCAACGATGTTAGGCTGGATACTAAGGTATTCCTGATACAGACCCTGATCTTTGCAATCAATTACTATGCATCAGAGAGCTGGACGATGATTAGGGATGATAGAAGAAGAATTGAAGCCTTTGAGCTGTGGATTGGAGAAGAGTATTGAATATACCATGGACTGCTAAGAGAACAAACAAGTTTGTTCTTGAGAAGGTGAAACCAGGCTGCTCCTTGGAGGCAAGAATTCTGAAGCTTTGTTTGACATACTTAGGACATGTTGCAAGGAGGGACCAGTCCTTGGAGAAGGACATCATGCTTGAAAGGGTGGAGGGACAGCACAGGAGAGGAAGATCCTCGATGAGATGGATTGATTCAGTGACTGGGGTAGTGGGGGTGGGTGTGTTAGACGTTAAGGTTGGCACAGGATAGAGCAGGGTTTAGGATTGTTGTTCACAGGGTCGCTATGAGTCATGGGCAACTTAGAGGCACATAACAACAACACGTGATCCACACTGAAGATGGTGTTCTTTAAACTTCATAACCAAAGGCTTCAAGCATTTCCTAGAGTCATGCTTCTTATGTTCTGTATTTCACTTAGTAATGGATGTTCTCATTTTAAGTCTGTCCACATCTGTAAATGAAGGACTTTCATTGGCTGAAAGCTGTCTTTTTCCATCACTGTCATTAAAGTAGACTACTCTGAGGAGGTAGCTCTTCTACATTTTTTAATGCCTTCCAACTCATGGGGCATGTGTCTTAGCACTACATCAGACCACTTTCTGCTCCTATTTGTAAGATTTTCAGAAGCAGATGATCAATCTTGCTTCCTAGTCTGTTGTAGTTTGGAAGTTCCTCTGAAACCTGTCCTCTGTGGGTATCCTTGCTGGCATTTGAAATAGCAGTCACAACTCCAGCATCACAGCAACATGCAACGCCCACAGTCAGTACAACAAACTGAGGTGAGTGGAGGCCACTCCTTCAAAGATCTGATATACCTCTTGGTGGTCTAGGTAAGAATCAGCCGTGACAAGCCAAGGGTAATCTTTCAGTGTGACTTACAATGTCTGAAAACCCACTCTGCCCACCTCGCTGTGCCCTCAAGATTCCTCTCACACACACCTGTGGCTGCCCTCCTCTCTCCCTCCCCCCCTTGGACTTCTGTATAGCTCTTACTAATGATCCTTCTATTTTTACTGTAATGGTCTTATGCAGTATTTGTCTTTATGAAACTGAGTGAGTTCCCTCAGCATGGTGCTTTCTAGCCTCTCCCTTGTTGTGTAGTATTTTACAAAATTATTGCACGTGCTGCGTAGTATTTGGATGGAAAGTTTTGCTGTCTTCTTCTTTTCAAGGCTTCTGTCTTATATTCAGGGTCAAAGCTGGGAAGGGGTCTCCAGGGTGTCCCTGCTGCTCTTATCTCTGGGTATTCCCAGTGGTTTGCTGACTCCCTGTGACCTGTCCTTACCAGGTGTCTGACTCGGTGAGTGGACAGACTGTGGTTGACCCCAAAGGCTACCTGACAGACCTGAACTCCATGATCCCCACACACGGAGGGGACATCAAGTGAGTGCTTGGGTGGCTTCTGGGACCTGGAGTGCTTTGAATCTTTTGAAAATTATTTAGCTTGAATTTTCTGTGGATGCTCTAAGAAAACACATAATAGAATGTGTTGAGACTGATTGCAACATCTCTGCTTTCCATGTTTGACACACAAAGTGCCATGTCTGCCTGTGCTCTAGAGAGGGCTGCTGGCTGCCACCTATCCTCTGCCCCTCTGCGACCACACAAGGTAGACCACACAAGGTCTGCTCGGCTGCAGAGGTTGGCTGCTAGCCTCTTGACCAACTCAGTGCTGCCTGTTTCTGTCTGTCGACTGTACACAGCAGGTGCTTTCCCTTGGGTCTCAGCTACTTGAGTATGTGATGGTGTGACAGTGTTCCTCCCCCCTCAGTGACATCAAGAAGGCACGACTGCTCCTCAAATCAGTTCGGGAGACAAACCCTCACCACCCGCCCGCCTGGATTGCATCTGCCCGCCTGGAGGAGGTCACAGGGAAGCTGCAAGTGGCAAGAAATCTCATCATGAAGGGCACGGAGATGTGCCCCAAGGTAAAGGCCAGGCCAGACCTGGTGGGAGTGGCCATCATCACAGACTGTTGGTGAGGCTGGGGAGCCTGGGGAATCGGGGAAGCAGGCCCACCAGGGTCTCACTTCTTGGTAACCACATCGCAGACAGTTGAATGCTGTTTTTAAACTAGAAAAAACTAAACCTGTCAGCTCTTCACCCAGTGAAAGAAGCTGTAAGACTGGTGGTGCTGATCAACTCCTAGCGGAGTGTTGGAAACGCCCTGCCACCTGTGAGCATGTCTCTTCTGTCATGTAGGGGCGACCTACCTGCTATCAGTGCCTCCTGGGTTCCCACACTTGGGTGTGTGCTTACCCCGAGTGGATGCCCAAGTGCCTCATTGGTCAACGTGTAGAAGGACCAGGTGGACATGCTGTGGGCATCTTGCATGTGGAGACACTATTTGCACCCAGGCTGGCATTTTAGGAAGAGTCTTAGGACACACATGTTTGAGACCAGATAGCTGCTATATAGCTGACCTTGCCTTGTGCTTTTGCTCTGCTGTGGGTGCTGACTCGGCCTAAAGCCCTGACCATTCTCTTCTTCCTCCCAGAGTGAAGATGTCTGGCTGGAAGCAGCCAGGCTGCAACCTGGGGACACAGCCAAGGCTGTAGTGGCCCAGGCGGTCCGTCACCTCCCCCAGTCTGTTCGGATCTACATCAGAGCAGCAGAACTAGAGACAGACATTCGAGCCAAGAAGCGGGTTCTTCGGAAAGGTGAGCTTCTAAGCTCCAGGTGAGGTGCCTCGGGTGAGTTGCGCAGCCAGTCTGTGAGCAGAACAGGTGAGGATCGAGTTGAAGCTGTGAGGCCAAGTGCAGGCCTGCTCAGCGTTTGTCCAGTCCAAGGCCTGGTTTTCAGTCTCACCTTCAGGGGAGGAGGCACTCCAAGAGCAGAGCGTGAGCAGGTTGACGATGTTGACCTGGCCGTCAGCTGTGTGGTGGCATTCTCAAGGTGCCCTCCCTTCTTGTCTGGCACTTAGAATTCCCCCACAGTCTCTCTGAATAGTGCACAGTGAGCCAGGAGCACTGAGTCCGCCGACAGCCCTACCCAGGATAGAGCTGTGAGCAGTTAGGACAGAGCAGAGGAGAGAGGTGCTGCTCTTGCCTTGAGCTGAGTGGGCTCTGCTTCTGAGCTCAGTGCAGAGCGGGTGCTGAACGAGGTCAGTGCTGGTGTCATTGGCTGCTTTGACTTCAGCAGTGGGACGTGCAGCGTGTTTTCTTGGGTCTCTGCTTGTCCTCAGAGGACCCAGACATTTGAGAAGGAAGGAGCAAATGAGTGGCCGTGGTGAGGGCCAAGTGCACCTCATCTCCAACCTGTGCCTGTTGTCCTTGGCCTTACACATGTGGGGGTGTGTGGTGTGTGTGACCTGTGCCTTTTCTCCCTGGATCTCGTGTGTGTTGGGGTGTGTCTGTGACCTATGGCTGTCCTTCCTGGGCCTCATGTGTGTGTTAGTGTGCATTGGGGTGTGTCTTTCTGCTGTGGCTGTAGCTTAGCTGCCTGGAGGATGTGCAGAGACCATCTTTGACGGATGTGTACCAAAAAGTCAGCACCCGCAGGTCTGTAGACATTTGTTTCTCCGCCCACCAGGACATGCTTTGATGGAGAACATATGGACTTGAGTAACCAGACTGTTTATTTGGGAAAGCTTGCCGAGCTCCCCAGCCTGCGATGACCATGACAGATGTCTTTGCAGCCACTCCCCTACTCACTGCAGGCTATGTAGGTGCCCAGCCGGCTGCTGTTAGGCTTATGGAAGGCTGGTGCCGAGGCCTGTGAGGGGTGGGCTGCAGGCCTGACGGGGATTCTTTCCCATCAGGCAGGATGCTGAGCTCAGGTAGAGAAGATTGAGGGGCCAGGGGGCTCTCTGATCTGCTGCTGCTCCTCGTCTGCTCTGGGCCGCACTCATCTCTAGACTCATTTGCTGTGTAGACAGACTCCCTGTACCTCAGGCAGAGCCTGGTGGTAGATCGTGAAGGGCCTGAGCTGTGGTTCTGAAAGTGTTGGCCAATTCTCTCAATGACTTGGGTTCTGGTGCCAGGAGCAGAGGTGGTAAGTGGAGATACCTACCACCTTAACTTCTGCCTCTCTGCTGTCCTTCATTGCCTGGGGGATAGTCAGTGTTCTTGCCATGTGTGTGGCCTGGTGAGGGCCTGAACAGTGACCATCATGTGGGATGGCCTGTTCACTCAGCATGGCCCTGGGGTGCCAGGTCTTTGTTTCCAGCACTCCTAGCTGATGTCTACTTGCTGAGGTAGGTGTGCGCCTGTAAGTGCAGGAGCAGGACAAGCCTGTGTGTTGGTCTGGTGTCCCACCTGGGAGGACAGATTTGCAACCCTGGTGTCCAGCCAGCCCTTCCATTCTGCTCTTGAAATTTGTTTACCCTTGAATTTTAAGGATGGCCTTATGATCAGTCTTCCTGGCACTGCCGGCTCCTTTCTAAGGTTGATCTTCCACGCTCCTGACTACAGTTGGCCATTAGCACAAATGGAGCCATTGTGTTATCCCAGGGGAGAAAACGTCCCTGTCCTCTTCCTGACTGGTTCTGTCCCCACCCGAGCGATGTTGCCTGAGCTGAGCCCTGCCCTCTCAGTCCAGCTTGCTCCTCCCCTCCTGAGGCTCTCCGGGGTTGCCGTATGCACCTTGCGTCCTGTGGACTTGACACCTGTCCTGCCTGACCCGTCGGACCCTGTCTTCAGTCTGGTGGACTCTTCAGGCCTTGGGTCTCTGCACAGCCTTGTCACAGGGGCTTGTGGGGCAGCCCCTCGGGGCGAGTGTGCCTTTCTCTGCTCCCTTCCCCCTCACTTGCTTCCTCATCTCTTCTTTCCAGCCCTTGAGCATGTTCCCAACTCGGTCCGCTTGTGGAAGGCTGCTGTGGAGCTGGAGGAGCCGGAAGATGCCAGGATCATGCTCAGCCGTGCTGTGGAGTGCTGTCCGACCAGTGTGGAGGTAGATAATGCCTGTTCTGGGGTGGTGCGGCACGAGGGAGCTGTAAGGAAGAACTGGGAGGTGAGCGAGGGCTCTAGGTGGTGGTCATCTGGTGTGGGCCTGGTGCCCATCAAAGTGTGGGGTCTGCTCCTTCCTGGGCAGTCCCTCCAAGCTCAGCCCAGGTGAACAGAAGAGCTGTGGGGCTGGGCTGGTGGTTCACTGTCCGTGTGAGGTCAGCTCTCTACTCGAAGCTGCTTGGCTTCCTTGGCCTCCCAGTGGAGCCCTGATACTGCATGGTGAAGTGCATGGCTCTTTCTAGAAGCTCAGCGGTTAGAACCCATCAGGCACTCCTTGGAAGAAGGATAAGGCAATTTGATTCTGTAAAGACGTACAATCTGGGAAGCCCTAGGGAACGCTTCTCTTCTGCCCTCTAGGACCACTCAGATCTGGGGTCACTCAGTGGCTGTAGGTGGACATCCAGGTTTCAGCGTTCTGTGCAATGAACTCTGGATTTACTGTTGTGATACCTGGTATGTCTTAATTATCCAGTGGGCATTGTGAAATTCTGTAAACAGAATTCATCTTGATTAGTTTACACAGAAGTGGTGCACACACACTTTTGGAGATGAGATTTTGCAGAGTCAGCAGGGCTGGGTGTCAGGACTTTAGACAGAGGAAAGTCGGTGGCTGTGTTCTGCTGCTTTCTCAGTCAGTGCCTGCTTTGGGCCTGGATGAACATTAGGCCCACAATCCATCAGGCTTCTGTGTTAACCATATAGGTGCCAGGTCAGAGGCAGGTGAAGCGGTTCCATGCGGTGCTGCTGTGGACAGTTGAGGGCCAGCTCATGGCTGGGTGACTGCTGGAGCACTTTGCAGTGCTTCTGGCCCATCAGGGGTGTGCTCCACCCAGCAGGTACTCTGAGCACTGGTGTCTCCTCCTTAGCTCTGGCTTGCTCTGGCAAGGCTCGAGACCTATGAAAATGCCCGCAAGGTCCTAAACAAAGCCCGAGAGAACATCCCCACTGATCGGCACATCTGGATCACAGCTGCCAAGCTGGAGGAGGCCAATGGGAACACACAGATGGTGGAGAAGATCATTGACCGTGCAATCACTTCACTGCGGGCCAACGGCGTGGAAATCAACCGTGAGCAGTGGATTCAGGTGAGGCGATGCCAAGCCAAACCAGTTCTCCCTGCTACAGATGCCTGTGTGTATTCCTTCCTGGTCAGGAACGGGAACATGCTGTGTGAGTTGGCTGTCCTGAAGAACTTCCTGTGGGGATGGGGGCCCTGCAGAGACAGTAGCATGTTTTAACTTCTCTGCAGGGCTGGAGCTACTGATGGCTCTGGGATCAGATGCTGGGGTTGGGCCTCTTGTCAGCCCTCTACGAAGTCAGTCATGAGCAGATGTCTCTCAGTAGGCTCCCTTTCCATGCAGATCACACAGACACACAGATAATGCGCTCTCTTGCTCGCTCGCGCTTGCTCTCTCTCACACACACACACGCATGCGTGCGCACGCACAGTTGTGCTCACACACAGACAAGCGCATGCACACACTTGTTCAAACTGACGTGCTCACACACATACAGACTCACACACATTTACTCAGCCAGACATGCTTACACACTTGTGTAGACACACACATACATGCATTCACTTGCTCACACATGCATGGTCACCACACACACTCACACACATGCACTGTCACATATAAATGTGCACAGACCAGCACCCCATGTGCCCACTGTCTGCTGGGTCCATAGACACAGTCACTTGGCCAGAGGCAAGTTTTTTTGGTCTTCTGTGGGTCTTTCTGGATTGTTGAGGGGACAGGTCGTCAACTTGTGGTCACTATACCGCTGACACCTGTTGCTGGTTACTAGGTAAGTAACTGAATGCTATGATCTTGCTCATACCCTTCACTTCTGAGCTTCCTGTGTTCTTGAACATTCTGTGGCCTTGAACCCAGAATTTTCCTGACAGCCTCCGTTCCTGGGATGCAGGTCATCCCACATCAGTGCTGACCCTCGAACCACTCTCTCTTTCCCACTGACCTCCCTTGTCACTGATGGGCCCGTGTGAGGTGTCTAAAGTCGCACTTTACGTGCAGTGGGCACTTAGTTGAGGTGCTTGCATAGTGAATGCACCTTCACCCAGCACTCTGATGGCTGGACGCTGTGCTGGGCAACAGGGATAGACATTAGCCAAGAGACAGATGGACAGGCGTGCCTGACTACCCTTGAGTTCTTGTGACAGATGGACATCTCCAGGGAGGGCATGTGGATTCAGACACCTGTAGCCCTGGGCTGTAACTACCGTCATATCCCCCTAGGACGCTGAAGAGTGTGACAAGGCCGGCAGTGTGGCCACTTGCCAAGCAGTCATGCGTGCTGTGATCGGCATTGGGATCGAGGAGGAGGACCGGAAGCACACGTGGATGGAGGATGCGGACAGTGTGAGTTCTGAGCAGAGCATGTCAGTGGGACAAGCTGGTCTAGGGCTGCTGCTGTCGTCTTCTGCTGCTAGCAGTTGTGTGTAACATACATGAGGCCACAGTGTACAGGAAATGTTACTGTTACTAGCAGTTGAGTATGGGGAGTACACAGTGTGTACATCACATGCCTCGTGCACACAAGTGTGCACACCCATGCAGGCAGGTGAGCATCCTCCGCATGCTCCCCACGCAGACAGCTTGCATACTGCCTGCACGTATGTGCACATTTTCCTGTGCAGACATGTAACCCACCTCAGGCAGTGCTGGTATGTCTGGAAGCTAGAACTCAGGCCTGGTGCTGCAGCTGACCGCTGCGCTCTGCTGGGGGTCTGTGGACAAGCCCCATGATGCACATGAGCTCTGGTGTGTGCTCCTCCATTGGGGTTGGATAGTGTCTCCTCCGGCAGCAAACCCAGTAGTGGTCCCTAGTCACCCTCAGTCCAGAGCCTGCATTTGGGCTCTTCTGGTGTGAGGATGTGGTGGCTATCAGGTGGGTTCCCCCAATTGTTCATGCCATTCACTGGTGGGTGTATTCTCTCCTGCGGGATGTGCGTGCTCAGAGCTGTGGGCTTGTAGCTTCTATGTGATCAGAGCAGAGGCCTCGTCTGTTGTGTAATGTTCATATCTTCAGCAAGGGGCCACAGGGTTGCCTAACCTGCAGGATTTGCCCACCTCTGGCTCTCCACTGCTGTACGTCTGAGTCAAAGGTCACACTCTGAGCTCTTCCTGCCTTGGCTAATGCTTCAGGTTCTCTGGGCCACTGCTCTGTGGGACTGACTGTGAGATGGTGATTGTGCTGCTGGAACTCCTGTTCTTTTTTCATCTCTCCCACTTTTAACCCCTTGGGTCTCTTCCTTATGTACTGCATGGGGTCTGCCCCATGAACGACCCCACACAGCCTTTGTCTTTGAGCTGAGCACACCAATCCTGGCATGGGGCCAAGGCTTTGTGCCGGACCTCCAGGACCAGTCCTTCCTGGTCAGAGCCTTGTGGACACAAGAGAATGTTCTCCCCTGACCTATTTCTGCACCCAGACAGGCCCCTAGGTCCAGGGAAACTGAGAGTCAGGGAGGCTGTCAGCTGAGCAGAGCAAAGATGAAAAGCCTGAATGTCATGGCCCCAGTGTCTGTCCCTCCTCACGGCCTCCCTGGACGTCACGGCCACAGTGTCTGTCCCTCCTTAGTACCTCCCTGGACATCATGGCTGCCATATGTGCCTACATGAATGTTGGTGCCACAACATGCTGCCCTTACACCGTACCCTGTCCTGAGGCACACCCGGCTATGGTTCAGGGGTTTCAGGGACTGTGTATAGACAGCAGGACTGCTGCTGGGTGGTCAGCTTGAGGCCCACTTGTAGCTTGTGCCAGATGGAGCCTCTTGAGTGTCACTGTGGGCCCTGAGGCCCTGGTCGTGGGTGGTTGGATTGTAAGCCTGTGTGAGGAGAGCAGTACAGGGTCTTCCCAACAAACAGGCCTCCTCCTCAGTGTGTAGCCGGGGAGGGGCACTGCTGTCCTGAGGGGGGACATGGGGTGAGGACCAGCATGGATCCTCTGTCCTAGCTCTGTCTTGTGGGGCTCTTTACCTCATATGGCCTCACGTAGTGGTTTCGCAGTTCCTTGCTTTCCTTGGGGGACATCGTGTTTTGATGGTGTTGTCACAGCAGTTTCTGGCCCTTGGGACAGTCTGCACACAGCCCTGTGGTCACATCCTCTTGACATGTGAGTGCTCGCTGTTTTTGCTCTAGTTGTTCGGCTCCCGCACCCTAGTCGAGTTTCTGCACCTTCTCATCTTTGAAGTGCAATGTGGAAATAACACAGTGTTCATGCTGAAGGCAGGGGTTTTCATGAGACACAGCGAGTGTGGTCCCGTCCCAGGTTCCCCACCTGTCTTCATCCCCACATGTGCCCAGGACCCCATGGGACCCATTCGGCTGACTGCAGACCTACCCAAGGGTGTGACTGCTGTCCCATGTCTCTTTCCAGTGTGTTGCCCACAGTGCTTTGGAGTGTGCCCGGGCCATCTACGCCTATGCCCTGCAGGTGTTCCCCAGTAAGAAGAGTGTGTGGCTACGAGCGGCCTATTTTGAGAAGAACCATGGGACCAGGTAGGCCACAAGATTGGGCCTGGCTGTCGGGTGTTGAGCCGTCTGGAGGCATGAGGCTGCAGGCAGAAGTCTTCAGGTGCAGGGCCAGTGTGTGCAGCTCCTTCTGAGGAGGTGGTCCCTGCTCCTTGGCCAAGAAAACAGAGGCCTGGGGAGCCTGGCTGCTGGTGGCCCCTGGCCAGTACTGGGCCTTCCACCCTGCGCTCTGCTGGGGTTTCTGCCAGCTCAAGGGTGGGGCTGGCTGGGATGGGGAAGGCGTGTTTCTCATTTCGGTTGAGCTGGCCACTTTCTGAGCTCTGAGGAGGTCCCTCACAATTTTCTTCATTGTACTCCTTAATTGGAAAAACCTTTCAGTTCTATGTTGTTGGCTACAAGTGCTGATTAAATTAGGTGTTGCAACTTCGTATGCTAAGTGCCCAGTTCCCCAAGGCTTCTCTCTTCCTTCCACACTCGCTTACACCCCTTAGCATGTTGGCACACTCCCCACCCCAGCCCTGTGTACACTTGCTTGCCCACACTGTCTCAGGACTTTCTCTGGACGTTGGCGGACTCGGGCCTGTTGAGGGCTCTGCCTGCCTGTCCCTACGCTCTTCCCTCAGGAGTGGGCGTTTGCTGTCAGCCTCAGCTCCTTGGCGGGTCTGATGTCCCAGCTTACACTGGAGGTGTCTCCTGTGCACCCAGCAGTCCCTTTTATTTGTGCTGGGGTGTTGTAGTCATTGTCCCCATGATCATCCTTCGCTAGGGGTGGGGGATGTGTGTTTTCCATAGTTAACCCTTGGGGAGTGGGTGTCCCCCTCCAGTCACTCTCACAGCTCACCCTCGGGAACTGGATGTCCCCCTACATCTCCCATAACTCACCCTTGGGGAATGGATGTCCCCATATCCCCCACAGCTCATCCTTGGGGACTGACTGTCCCCCTACGTCTCCCGTTGTTCACCCTTGGGGAGAGAATGTCCATCCACATCTTTCACAGCTCATTGTGGAGGAGTGAGTGTGTCACCCCGCAGCTCCTATCACTCACCTTCAGAGCATGTGTCCCCTCCATTCCTCCCACTCCTCCCACACTTCCCACTCCTCCCACTCCTTCCATTCCCACTCCTCCCACTCCTTCCGCTCCTCCCTCACCTCCCACTCCCACTCCTCCCACTCCTTCCACTCCTCCCACCTCTCCCACTCCCAGTCCTTCCACTCCTCCCCCTCCCACACCTCCCACTCCCTCCTCCCCCTCCCCCCCCCTCCTTCCACTCCTCCCCCTCCCATTCCTCCCACACTTCCCACTCCTCCCACACCACCCACTCCCTCCTCCCACCTCTCCCACTCCTTCCACTGCTCCCCCTCCCTCTCCTCCCACTCCCATACCTCCTACTCCCACTCCTCCCACACTTCCCACTCCTCCTCCTCCCAGTCCTCCCACACCTCCCACTCCTCCCATTCCTTCCACTCCCACTCCCCCCACTCTTCCCACACCCACTCCTCTCACTCCCACTCCTCCCACAGCTCCTATAGCTCACCTTGGTAGAGTGCACTCTGGTCCCCGTCTGCATGGGCACAGGCTGTGGGCCTCCTGTGGTGTTTATCCTCCAGGCTGCAGTGTGAACAATGGGCTGCTTTGTAGCAGCTGGTGGTGGGTTGTGTGGAGAAAGACTTCCCTCCTCTCCTATCGTAAAACCTGATAAGTTCTTTATGACATTGGACTTTGGAGCAGTAATTGTCTTTGTGGCTCTTCCTGCACTGGCACTGAGCAGTTTATGGCTCCTCTGACTGTCTTCTGCCTGTAGGGAGTCCCTGGAGGCACTGCTGCAGAGGGCTGTGGCTCACTGCCCCAAGGCTGAGGTGCTGTGGCTCATGGGTGCCAAGTCCAAGTGGTTGGCAGGAGATGTGCCCGCCGCCAGGAGCATCCTGGCTCTGGCCTTCCAGGTGAGTGAACTGGCTGCTCCACCATTCTTTGGTGGAGAGGGAGGTGATCTGGGTCTGGGTGAGGACACACTCCTTGAGTAAATAGTCCCCCAGGGCCATCCTGTATCTGCATCAGGTGGCTGGTATTACGTTAGCCCCAGGTACAAGTCTGCACCTCACTGCTATCCCAGTCTTTCCTGGGGCCACCAGGCACAGCAGGCTTGAGTAGATGGCTGAGCTCAGGCCTGATGCCTCAGGGTGGACTGTGTCAGGTGCCGGAGGCAGTGTGAGCCACTGACACATCGTCCAGCATTCCTTAGCAAAGGGGATCCTTCTTAGCAAAGGTGATCCTTCTTGAGTGGGCATTGCAGGCAGGCTCGGCCTGATGTGAATGTCTACGGTCACCTGTAAGAGCTCCCACTGGCCCACATGACCTCCAAGCATACTGCCATCACCCCTGATACCTCAGGCCTAGGACAGGCCTTCCGCATTCACTGGGCAATAAGGTCACACCTGGGTCCCTGGTGGGTGGCTGCCGGCTACTCCTCTTGCCTGTAGGTGTTGCTTGGCTTTTTTCCTCATGGTGCTTCCTGTGACCTGCTCCCTGACCCTATAGTCTTTTCCCTTTGTGACCCTGTGCCTTGTGTGACTGTGAGCCTGTATGACTGACCTCTGACCCTGTGTGACATCCTGCTCTCTGTGTGATCCTTGTATGACCCTGTATGACACTTGTGTGGCCCTTTGCTCTGTATGACCGGCATGCCCCTGCGTGACCCTGTGCCCTATGTGATCCAGCACACTGTATGGACTGTGTGACCCTGTGTCGCCCTGACACATCTTCCCCCTGTCGTGACACCTTGACCACTGACTGGTGTAGGTCTGCGTATCTGAGACAGAAGGCCCCTTTGAAGGCAATGCCTGAGCATAGCTTCATCTAGACAAGTCTGGTTTTGTGCCTGGAGTTTGCTTCTTTGCCTAGGTTTAGAAGCGCTAGGGGGATGACTTGTCCAGGTCTAGATGGGCTTGGCCTGGCACCACTCTGAGTCAGCCAGTTTTGTTGTCCCTCTGGTTCGAGCTGATCCCTGCTGTTCCCCTTCACAGGCCAACCCCAACAGCGAGGAGATCTGGCTGGCTGCTGTGAAGCTGGAGTCTGAGAACAACGAGTATGAGCGGGCCCGGAGGCTGCTGGCCAAGGCGCGGAGCAGTGCTCCCACTGCCCGGGTGAGCGGGGCTGGAGGGCTTCATGAGCGCTGTCCTGGGGCCTGATCCTGCACAGGGCTTTGTGAGGAGAAAGAAGTCTGGGGGACATGTGGGGGAAGATGGAGCCTGGTCCACACACAGCTGGGACATAGCTGTGACGTTCCAGGCCCTGGATCTGGGTGAGGCATGTGCATGTGGGAGCTGAATGTGTATCCAGCAAAGCCACGGCAGCTAGCGGTGAGTGTGATGACTTGGGCAGTGATGTGGGTGGTCGTGATGACCCGAATGGCTTTCCAGGTATTCATGAAGTCTGTGAAGCTGGAGTGGGTGTTGGGGAACATTGCTGCTGCCCAGGAGCTGTGCGAGGAGGCCCTGAAGCATTATGAGGATTTCCCTAAACTGTGGATGATGAAGGGGCAAGTGGAAGAGCAGGAGGAGCTGATCGAGAAGGCCCGGGAGGCCTACAGCCAGGGGGTGAGCCTTGAGGGGATTGGTGGAGGCACCCAGAGCCTGGGCTGAGTTGTCTGGAGTGGAGATGGTGGGCTCTGTCAGCATCTAAACTTGACTTCATTCCTGCTGTGTGCTGTGTGGTACAATGTACAAGACTCATGCTGACCTGGCACAGGCAGCAGCTGAGAGACACGTGCTGTGATTGGGTATCTCATTCATGTTTGGTTTTGGTCACAGTTAAAGAAGTGTCCTCACTCCACACCCCTGTGGCTTTTGCTTTCCCGGCTGGAGGAAAAAGTCGGACAGCTGACCCGAGCTCGAGCCATCCTAGAGAAGTCCCGGCTTAAGAACCCCAAGAACCCTGGCCTATGGTGAGTGCTTGGAGGGGCCTGCTGACAGTGGTGCATGTGACTCACTCCCCTGAGAATACCTTTGGTGAGGTAGGAGTGTGAGGTACAGGCACTTGGTGGGGTCGGGCAACGTACTGTCTATAGACACCTAAGCACTGGAGTGGACTGTAGAGTGGGAGACGCTGTGAGGACAGGAGGACAGTGGCAGCTGGGTTTTGTGCATAGGACATTGCTCTTGTGGGGTGAGACATAGCATGGCCTCAGGTGAACTGCTACTCACAGAACCTGAAGGCCTCCAGAGTTTTCCAGAAGCTCTACCCTCTGCAAACGTGTGAACCTCTACCTTTCCATATGGTTTTCTTTGCAGGTTGGAATCTGTGCGCCTAGAATACCGGGCAGGACTGAAGAATATTGCTAACACGCTCATGGCCAAGGCACTGCAGGAGTGCCCCCACTCAGGTGAGGGCCACATGGGACAACACCCCTACCTAGGGGAGTACTGCAGTGGGCAGGGCCTCCACTCAGCTGAGGGCAGCATGGGCTGGGGCCCCCACATGGGGGAGTGCCTCACAGAATGGGACCCAGACTGGTGAGATGTGTGAGTTTTAGAGGAGCAAGTGGGTTCCAATAACGCTGTTTTCTGATCACCAAGTAAGGGGAAGGAGTGTAATGTTGGACAGGATTGCTTTTCAGTATTTAGAGATTTAGGTTGGGTTGGAATCTCAGTTGTGTGTATCAGGTACAGTCATGGGCAGAGATGGGCCGGTAGTTGCTTCACAGACTACAGGTGCTAGTGAGAGGACAGGCTTATGGTCACTAGAGTAACTGCTACAGCACTTTTTTTGTTTGAACCACACTGGTCACAGGCTAAGCTTAGGAGCTCTGGTGGCGTGGTGTGTGGTGTGCACGATGTATGCATGTTGCATGGTGTGTTGTGTGTGGCTTGCCATGTGTAGCATGGGTGAGGTATGTTGCATGGCCTGTATATGGTGTGTTGTATAGGGTGTGCAGGCTGATGTGATGTGTAATTTGGTGTGCAATGTGCCGTGTAGCATGGTATGTTGTGTGTGCGGCATGGGTGATGTGTGTGGGGTGTGGTGTGAGTGTGCATTGTGGTGTCATGGGGATGTGGTGTGTGTGGTATGGGTTGCATTGTGTCATGGGGCGTGGGGGGCTGTGTGTATGCATTGTGTCATGAGCGTATGTGTGGTGTGGGTATACTGTGTGTTGTGTGGGTGTTCATTGTGGTGTCATGGGGGTCTGGTTTGTGAATTGTATCTTGGGATGTGTGTCGTGTTAGGGTGTAGTGTGGGTGTGCGGTGTGTATGTGCAGGGTGTGGTGTGTGGGTCTGCAGTATGTATGTGCATTGTAGGGTGTTACTGTGTCATGGGAGGTGTGTGGTATGCATGTGCGGTGGGGTGGATGTACGGTGTGAGATGGTGTGGGTGTGCATTGTCGTCGGGGGTGTGGTGTGTATGTGCAGTGTTTGTGTGGGGTGCATTGTGTCATAGGGTGTTGGTATGACATGAGTGTTACCCTCGTCAGGCTTTGTCGCCTGATCCCCCAGCAGCTACTGCACACGTCTTCTTGGGCAGTCGGCCTTGTTGATAGGGCTGAGCTCTGCCTCTGTGTGTCCCTCAGGCATCCTGTGGTCTGAAGCCATTTTCCTCGAGGCCAGACCCCAAAGGAAGACCAAGAGTGTGGACGCCCTAAAGAAGTGTGAACATGACCCACATGTGCTCCTGGCAGTGGCTAAGTGAGTTCTGGACATGAGTGTCACACATGTGCAGGGTGAGGGGGTTGGGGTGTCACCTGTGTGTAGAAGTGGAGCCTCGAGCTCTGGCCATCACCCCGTGCATAACAGGCCGTGGCCCTCAGCATGCTGGATGGGAGGCTGGTCTGTTTCCTCCAAGCACCCAGGACTCTGAGAACTTAGGTTCATGCAGATAAGCCCTGGCGGTAGTGTCTCATGGTGCTGCTGGGGTCAGCAGGGCCAAGATCTGGGGAGTCCAGCAGGGTTTGTGCACACAGAATGCTGGCTGGGGCCTGGGGAGCTGGGCATGAGTGATCACTGCTTGACAGCTGATTTTGACCTGGGAAGAGGGCCCGAGTGAAGGGATGGGGTGACCACAGGTGGGTGAAGTCCTCAGCCTCTTCCAGTGTGGTCAGGCCTGGGATACTGGGTTGGCCATGTCTTCAGCCTCCGTGCCTGAAGGTCCTCCTCCTCCTCAGTTTCTACCTGGCTGGAAGTCTGGCCTTCATCACCCTGTCCATATGAGGGCAGAACAGCCCACTTGCCATAACCCCTGGGCTCTTCTGTGGATGGGGTTGTGGTCTCTAAGTGCTCTGAGAGGCCATGATGGGGGCAGTGGGGGAATATAAGAGGTGGGGAGCTGTAGGAGGCTGGAGGGAGGATGAAGAGGTGGAGGACCATAGGGGTGGGGGCTATGGGGAACCCATAAGCATGGGGGCCTATGTGGTCCCATAGGGTGGGAGGCTGTAGAGGTATAACCAAGAGGCACCTGTGGGCGGCTACTCCTGTGGGCGGCTGCGCCTGTGGGCGGCTGCGCCTGTGGGCGGCTGCGCCTGTGGGCGGCTGCTGGCCTGTGGGCGGCTGCTGGCCTGTGGGCGGCTGGCCTGGCTTGTACTGGAATGATGACTGACTGCCTGGCAATCTGACAGCCGGCCATAATCCCTTATAAAAGGCTTTGCTAAAGCAAACAGCCTCTGGCTACTCCCAAGCGAAGTTCTGAGTCTGCCTTCAGGGCTGTGCCTTCAAATCACAGTTTATCTAATACTGAGGCTTAAAAAGCCATCAGGCAATCATTGTGGGCCTCTTGGGGCCTCTGGGTGCAATAGGCCCAGTGAGGGAGGGCAGATGATCCCTGCAGATCCACAGTCCTGGAGAAGTGGGGGAGCTAAGTGTGTCCCCCCCATGTATGGGGGTGCCACCCTGGATGTGTGGAGCTGCCCGTGGGTGGAGAGCACTCCCAAGGACCCAAGTCAGTCCATCAGGCCTGGATACTTGTCTGATGTGCATTTGCTCCCTGGCCAACTGCAGTGGGTCAGTTCTCAGTGCTGGTTGAGGGCTGGGTGACCACTCCAATTTCCCTCCCCAGAGCTTTTGAGTGTTTGGTCAGGGTCTGCTGTCTCCTAATATAGGCTCTGAGGGAAAAGGGGTCATAAAGCCTCAGGGAGACCTCACTATGGGTTCTTGCTTAGGGTGACCCCAGCTCTGGGCACCAGGCAGTGTTGGCAGCACAGTGCTCTCCCTGGAGAGAAGTCTGTGTTCTCAGGCAGGAGCCAAGGGTGACTGGTGAGCAGAGCCCACTTTGCCCGCTTGCAGATCGTAGTCATGCCATGTGGCTGGGCAGCTGTGGGTAAGCTGTGCCCCTCCTCCTGTGACAGGCTCTTCTGGAGTGAGCGAAAGATCACCAAGGCCAGGGAGTGGTTCCACCGCACTGTCAAGATTGACTCGGATCTGGGAGACACGTGGGCCTTCTTCTACAAGTTTGAACTGCAGCACGGCACAGAGGTCAGACATAGGCCAAACATGGCCTGCTAGGGAGGATATGATGGGAGAGTCTAGAGGTGTGAATGACTGTCCTCGGGTTCATAAGTGGACACACCAGGGTCTGTGGGTGATCGTCCTTGGGTGTGTGGGTAGGTGACCATTGTCAGGTCTTTAAGTGGCCATCTTTGCATCTGTGGGTGACCATCCTAAGGTCTGTAGGTGAATGTCTTTGGCACTTTTGAGGCATAGAATCTCACTGTCAGTTTGTCTTGGGGTGGGGGGGCGTTGTGTATACGTACATACGTCCCTCCCTTCCTACCCAGCTGCCTTACCCCTCAGAGTCCTATGTACCAGCAGCTCCCAGGCTCCTGCATCTTCTAGGGGTTTCCTTGTGTGCTTGGAGTTCAGTGGGGAGGCCACGCTCCCTCTGCTCTTCTGATGCACAGGTCCTTCCTTGGAGTGGGGGTGGGTGAAGGGCTTTCCTGAGCAGCCACGTGTCCCTGTAGGAGCAGCAGGAGGAGGTGAGGAAGCGCTGTGAGAACGCAGAGCCACGACATGGGGAGCTGTGGTGTGCCGTGTCCAAGGACATTGCCAATTGGCAGAAGAAGGTTGGCGAGGTGCTGGTGCTGGTGGCCGCCCGGATCAAGAACACTTTCTGAAGACCAGCCTGCCCCAAGGGGACTGACACTCTGGGTCTGCACAGGGGCACCTCCCTGGGTGGCAGCAGGCTGGGGGCTCTGTTCTGCTCCCCCATTAAATATTTTTGATGTAGTCAGTAACGGTGTTGATGGTGATTGTTGTCCGGTCCCTCAGTCGACTTTGTTGCTGGTCACTCTGGGTGGGGTTGCCGGTGGTTCTCAGCTTGCAAGAAGACCTTTTTGAGAAGAAGTGATGTGATGGGCTGTAGATGGCGGTACATGGGCCATTCAGAGTGGCCTCTCAGCAAGTGTTCCCCTTCGAGGGTCTGCAGACAGAGGAGTGTGAGGAGGGGACCATAGACAGGGCTGTGGGGAGGGGGTCTGTAGATGGAAGGGTGTGGGGAGTGGGTCTGTCAATGGAGTAGTAGGAAGGCCTGCATTGGAGGAGTGTTTTGGGAGGGCCATATAGGTATGAGGTGGGGCTGTCCATGGTGGGGCTGGGCCTGCGTGTTTTGAGGAAGGCCCCACAGTTTAAGTTTGGAAGCTGCTATGATCTTTGCAGACATGGACACAGGCCCAAGTCTTCTCTGCCAGGGCAGCTTGTGGGGGCAGGGCTCCAGCAAGTGCTGGGGAAACCCATTTCAGTTGGGCCCTGGTCTTCTGTGGGTGGTGAGAGAGTAAAGTTTCTTTCCCACGCCACTTGGAGGTGCAGCCTGAACCTGCCACCTCTCCTCTTTACTTAAATTCATCCTCATCGCAGTGAAGGCCAGTGGCACTTGTCTGCTCTATTCTGCCTGCAGCTGTGACCCTGTCTGCCCCTGCTGGGCATCATCTGGCCATGGGGCACACAGTGCAGGTTCATCCTGGATGCACCTCTCCCTTTCTCAGGATACCACTTGGGGTCTCTGCAGAAGGAACTACTCTTGGGAGGCAAAGGGGCCCTAGCACCTGGGAGTTGGGACAGGGCTTTGAGAAGTCTTGCCTTAGGACCAGCAGATGGACAGTTCCTCTCCTGAAGGACTAGAGGCTAGAGGTCTGTGTGCGGGCAGCCTGAGCATGTGAGTGGATCCAGACAGGCCTCCCAGGGCTGCCCTACCTAGTCTCCCACCAGAACCGGCTGCCCGGGGCCAAGATCAGGGCTGTGGAGCCAGCCCCAGACAGCTGCCACCCTCCAGGGTCAGGTTAATTGGAGATGCGATTGGGTAGTAGCAAGGGGGCGGGCAGGGGGGCGGGCTGGGAGTAGTCACGTCCCTCCTTCCTTCCCTTGTCCCCTCTCCCCCTCCTCCCTCTTCTCCCCTCTCCTCCCCTCTTCTGGCCAGAAGAGCCAACTTCAAAAGCCTCGGCCGCCCTACAACCAGGGGAACCATTGGCTGCTCCAGGGCCAAGCTTCCAGCCTGGCTCTTGAGCATGTGTGTGGCTGGAGGACCCTGTGCCTGACGGGCCCATGGTGAGCTGCATTGGGGAAGGGGCTCAAGGGACATGAGGACCAGCCGCCCACTGCCCTGCGGGAAATTCCCAGTAGAGATTCCCAGTGCCGGGCAGCTGGGTAGGGTCCACTTGCCCTGGCCTTCCTGGAAGTGTGGGGGAGGGAGTTTTGCCCTCTGCTGCTGGTGTTTCCTGGGACCCTTGTCCATCCTGCCTGCTGCCCAGGAGCAGGTGCTCAGCATGGTGGGCAGCAGTGACAAGCGGTGGCCGTCTGGATCTCCTCTCCTAGGGACAGCAGGCTCTGGCCCCTGCAGGGTGAGAAGCTGCTGGAGTGGAGTCCTTCCATCTCGATGCACAAGATTGATTTCCAGACTCTGCCGGGGCGTGCGGGTGGGCGTGAGGATCGTGGTGGGGCAGGACCTTGGGACATAGGTTCCCTTGCAGCGTGGGCTTCGGGGCTTTCCTGAGGTCCCCAGGCTGTTCTCCTGTCACGCTGGGGGTTCCCCAAGCCTTCCCCTTCCCTCAGGGTGTGGCCTGGACCCTGAGCCCTCTTTCCTGTCCCTTTTGGGGTGGGGTGGAAGGGGACAGGTTATAAGCAGAGCTCAGGGGGATACAAAGCCAGTGAAGCCCTGACCGGAGCAGAGAGACCCCAGAAGAGTCTGGGTCTTCTGCTCCCCAGGCTGGTGGAGGTAGGCTGAGTTCAGGGAGGGTGATACCCAGAACAGATCAAGGACAGCTAACTGGACCCCAGGTTGTGGCCAAGGACTCAGGCCAGGGTTCCCTGAGAGTTATCCCCGCTTGGATGGGCAGCCTTGGGTGGGCATACCTTGCCTTCTACACCCCAGCACCACCTGCGCTGGTCTTTATGCTAACCTCTGCTGTCCAGGCTCTGCCTTGTCTGTCGGTGGCGCTCCTGTTCAGAGGTTTTCCTTGTTTGTAGCCTGGAGTTCCTGCTCAGTTTCATCAGTTACCTAAGGCTGGAACAGAGGTTTCTCTCTGGGTGGTTGCCTGCCCAATCACCCTATCCCCATCCTGAAGCCCACTTCCCTCACCCATGTCCCCTCCAGGTGTGCCCTTGGCCTGCGCTCTGCGCGCTAATGCTGGTACTGCTGGGAGTTGCCCCAGTCGGAGCAGGTCGAGCCTGTAGTATTCCAGACGTGCTCCACCACTACCGTGCAGTCATCTTTAAGGACCTGCAGAGCGCAGTGAGGCGGGCCAGGGCTGGGGCGGAGGGCTCCAAACACCAGCATTTCGCTTCTCACCAGCGGTGGCGGGATCGGGCTGGGGCCTCCTGTAGAGCCCAGAAGGTACAAGGGGCCTGCATGCGCCTACAGTGGGCTGAGCAGCGGTGCACCTGCTCACCAGTATCCCCATGCCCCTCCTTAGGAACACAGTATTCTCATGTCCATCGCGTCCCTGGGTCAGACACTGCGCAGGGCTGTGTCTGGGGACCGTCGCGGCTCCCTGGAGAAAGCAGCGTGGACCGTGGCAGTGCGCACTGAGGCGGTGATGCGGCGCCACTGTAGGGCGCCTCACCAGGTGCGCCTCCCTGTGCGCGTGTGGGAGTGGGAGTGGCCAGACAGGCCCCAGCCCTATTCCGTCCAGCACGACTCCCTTCCCTGTGAACTGGACGGGAGCTGTGGCTGGGCAGCCACCACACACGCTGATCACTCAGCTCCCAACAGCGGAACCCGCGATGGTCGGAGAGGTTTCCTGTCCGGAGACGTGGCGGTCGAAGAAGGCTCCTGCTACGCGCCCTGGACGCCGTCGCCACCTGCTGGGAGAAGCTGTTCGCGCAGCGTCCAAAGGACAAAGGAAGCTCCTAGGGCCCAACGACCAGCTCATGGCCCCGCCCTACAGAACAGGCTGTGTCCCGGCGGGCCCGCTCCCACTGTTCTTGGGGTGCCTTTGGTGGGAGAAGAGCAGGTCATAACCTCGGAAGTTATAATGATCACTGTGTGGAGACATTGGCTTCTGCCCTTGTCACGGCCTTCCCAGGGTCCACAGGGTCTGAGGGCTCTTAAGATCTCAATAAAGAGAGATGACCCTCCAGGTCTACTGTTTTCATTGGTCCAGTGTGGGCTTAGGGCCACCCAGGGTCTGCGCCCTAACTGGGAGGGGCCAGGACACAGTTGGGGTGGGTCACACTAGCGCTTCCACACCTGAGTGGCAGGGGGCAAGCACAGGACATGGAGTGGATGGAGAAGGGCATGCTGTCCTTTAGCCCTCCTGGGACCCCAGACCCTTCAGTCCAGGGAGGGGAGGGGCCCCCCATGGGGGAGAGAAAGACGATGCAAAACAACCGGATATAGGAAACCAGCTGGAGGGAAGCCAGAGTGCTGGGCCAGGTCATTTCCTATCCCAGAGACATCCGCCCCCTCCCCCCCCCACGCTTCTGACCAGTCTCCCTACAACTCACTGTCTCTTGCATTGCTATGTGCAGTTGCCCATGGAATGGGATGTCCCCAACCACAGCCTTTTATCAGCTGCTTGTGGGATATGAGGCTTAGCCACCCTGCACACCAGACTAAGAAGGGGTGCCTGTGAATTGTACCCCACACCTGCATCGTCCCGCCCCCTGACTTCACCCCCTTACCCCTGTCATCCTTCCTTATCTCTCCCTGGGTGTGTCTGAGCAGGAGCCATCTGGAGGGTGGACACCTCCATGAGTATCAGCTTGAGCTGCACATGAACTTGGAAAGCCAAACCCTGGCCTGGATGTGTTAAACGTAGTATGCACAAGGATGGTTCCTATACATTGCAAATTGTATGGCTAGCCAGTGAATGAGTGAGATGACTTCCAGTGCACCATCTACCCTGAATGTGTCCCACAGAGACAAATTCAGGACAGCGGGTGTCCAGCTGTTCCTGTTTGCTGGTTCACACATAGCCAAGAGACCCGTCACAATCAACCTCACATGCCAGTGTAAGCATTCTGAGGACTGTGAGGAGGGCTTTGAGTTCCTAGTGTGGTACAGTATCCAGTAGATGGGGCTGGAAGGTTGTAGGTAGAGAGAGGGCAGAAACTGGCAAGAGTTTGATCTGGAGAGGCACCCAGATGATCTGGCCTGTAGCAGGTGGCACTGCGTCTAGAGACTGGTCATTGGGGTTGCTTAGGGCATGGGCCTCATGTGGTGGGCTGGCATGGACCCTGGACAGGAAAGGATGAAGGAAAAGTTCAGGCCACTATGCAGTTTCTGACCTGAGCACATGAGTAGGCCAGGGCCCTGTGGGTAGTGGGCAAGGTTTTTTACTGGGGCTGGAGAAATACTAGTTTGACTGGCACAATATTGTGTGGGCAGCAGAATAGCAGTCTCTAAGGGGCCAGAAAAGGGAAGAGGTAGTGTCCGCAGAGCCAGCCAGCTTATTGCTGTTACACTTAATCAAATCCCAGTGCCCATGAGGAGAGCAATCCCTTGCGGTGGCGCCTGAGTCTGGCCTTTGGGCTGGCTCTAGGCTGTTCAGAGTAAAAGAGCTGTGCTGAAGGCAGTAGTAATAGGGACAGACAACACGGATGCTCACAAGTTTTTCCATGAAAACCAAAGCCTAGGCCACCATATTGGCCACACATCTGGAATCTTGGACCAAAGGACTGC